GCCAGCCGACTTACCCCAATTCGAGTCGCGCGGGGGGGGGTGGGTGGGTTGCATGGGGTGAAATACTTGAATTTTCAGAAAAATCATGTATTTTCAAATTTGATTTTCTCTTTTTTTTTTTTTTTTTTTTTGAATATTATTTTCCAATGCAGTGAATATGTTTTTTTTCATGCTTTTTGACCTTCAGCTTCTGAGGGAGTTGTGACCCCCCCCTCTTGCCTATAAATAGACCCCCCCCTGGGCTCTTTTTGAGGAGTTTCCCCAGGGTTCAAGACATCTTTTGCCCACTTGTAAGACAGACATTATACTAAATCTACTTACTATTCTAAACACACTAGTTACAAAACCAACAACAAAAGAAATACTATTAATTTATTTACTAGTTACAGAAATGGCTCCATCATCTCCAGACAGACCCTCTTTCTCTGAGGATGAGGATGAAGAATCCTTTAATCTAGCTACTCTTGGAGCTCCAACTCCAGCTCAGCCCACCAACAAAGGGCTAACCTCTACCCATGAGCCTCAGACCCCCAGCAACACTCAGACCAGCCCAGCTGCCAACAACACTACCACCACCACCACCAACAACAACAACGGCACCAACACCAACACCAACACCACCACCAACAACAACACCACCACCACCACCAAGAAGAAGAAGGCTCCCAAGGTTGTGGTGTCTGAAGGCCAGGAGGTCACTGATGGGGGAGCTTTGCCCACTGGAAGGGTTGCTCCAATCTCTTCCACCCCTGGTGGTGGGAAAGAGGTTAGGCTTTCTGCCCTCCAGGCTTTGGAGAAGAGATGTAAGTTCATCTTTTTTTCTTTTTTTTTGAATAATTAATGGGGGTCTGAGGTCTGATGGGTCTGACTCTGTTGTTTCTTGGGTTTTCTGGCTTTGAATTTTAGATCAGGATGCCAAAGCCACTCTGGCTGCTCTCTTGAGTGAGGCTACTGAGACTCTTGGTGCCCCTCCTTCTTTGGAGGGGAATCTCTTTGCCAAGATGGATGAGGCCTTGGACTTGAGGCTGGAAAGCTGGAAAGTCAAAATCGAGGAGGGTGTCACCACCAAGTCTGAGGTGGTGGTATTGGATGATGATGTAGTTGAGGTAACAAAGTCTAAGAAGAGACCTCGTGCATCTGACAATGCCTCACTTCCCACCTTCTCTAAGAAGCAGAAATCTGCTGGTGCTGGCACTCAGGGTGAGAAGAGTGCTCCCCCTCCTGCCTCCTCCAAGAAGGGCAAGGGGAAGGAACAAGAAAGTCTCTTTACGGACGACGAGGAGGATCGCTACGAGGACGATGTCGATGTCGATGGCGATGGTAATGGCGATGGCGCGGCTGCGGGGGATAAGGGGAAGGGTGGAGCTGAGAAGGAAAAGGAGAAGGAGAAGGAGGTGGAGGATAATAGTGTGATCAAGAAGGGTCATTTCTTGTCTGCTTTGGGTAAGTTTTTCTCTATCTATCTCTTGTTGGTTGGATCATGGAGTATGGGTGTTGACTTGTCATTTTTTTCATTTTTTGTTTGTTAGTCTTATGCAGATACTCCCTCCCTGGTGGGGTCAAGGAGATTTATACTCAGTCTTTGGGTGCTTTAGAGCCCAAGCAGGCAGCTCAAAATGCTGGGAAGACTGCTCTTGAATTTGGAACTCTGGCGTCTCCGATTCTTTTTCGGTTCTTGAATTGGATCCCTTCTGCAGTTGGCCATTTTCAGGTCAACAAACATGAATTGGCCTCTAGGATGAATTCACAACTCATGGGTGCTCCTAGAAAGAAGCCTTTTTTTGAGCTCATCAGATCTGGTATGTTGATTTATTTTTTTACTCATTTCACTGTTGGTGTTTGAATTCTAGCTGACTCTTGATTTGTTTCTAGCTCCTGGGTTAATTCAGGTTTCTTATCCTGATCCCTTCTGGAACAAAGCTCTCATTGACTTTGACAAGATCCAGACTGCTTCCAAGGAGAATCCCAAGGATCCTGTGGGTGGTTGGACAGCCGTGCTCAACTTGATCTGCCGAGCTGAAGGTGATAACACCTTGGGTTACACCACCCATGCATCCAGGAAGTCTTTGATTTCTGCTGCCTTCAACCGAGTTAGTCAGCTCACTCGGGACTCTGTGGCTGCAATCTCAGTCAACATCAAGCCCCCCAAAGAGGACCCAAAGGCTCCCAAAACCGATCTGGACGGTCTCCGTAGTGCTGGGAAATTTTTGCATAACCGAATCGAAGCTCTTGGCGGTAGCACTCCTAGCTCTGGGAAGAAGGGGCAGGTCAAGGCCTCTGAGGAAGGTATCGCGTTTCTCCAAAAACGGATCTTTGAAATGCTTTTGGGAATTGCTCTGTGCATAGAATGCAATGAGCTCTTCAAGAAGGAGAAGGAGTACGAGAGATTGCCCGGCTTGACTCAAGAGGAAATCAAGGCTAAAAAAGCCGATCTTCAGTCGGTTGCTGTCTTTCGCGCTGGTCCTGGAACTCTCTCTGCGGTCGACTGGTCTATTGCCAGAAAGGAGGCTTATGCAGCTCTGTCCATTTTCTTGACATTTGGAGTGGCTGGGTGGTTTTCTTCTTTCACCAACCATCGGAAGTACAACCTCGCCGACTGCTATGGCCTCCTCACTCTTTGCGATCAACGGGTCGAACAACTTAAGAAGATCCCTGCCGATGGAATTGAGACAACCCATCCTTTGGTCTCAGGTGGCTGGAAGTATCTAAACGGCTTTCTCCTGGCTGTTTTGAATGCTTCCAAGATCCCAACAGCAGACTCTGCTCAATGGAGGTTGATGAGTAAGAAATGGGCCGAGACCTTGACTCCTGCCCAGATTGGTGAATTAGTCCTGGCCGATGTTTTTGCTGAAGTTGCTCAACCTGCCTACTCGGTGTCTTTGACTGGAAAATACGCGGTCCATCCGGTTATTGACGCTGGAACGGAAAAAAATAAAGATGGGGTTTTGCAGATCTTGAAAAAGACTATGCCTTTCTTGCTCAAGGGTTCTCATGGGTTGGGTGATGATGAAGAAGATGAAGATGAGGAGGAAGAGGGGGAAGAGGAGGAGGACGAGGAAGAAGAGGGGAGGGAGGAGCGCGCTGAACACAAACAAAGGGCGCAAGAAGCAGTCAAACTATTTATTCAAGACGAGGCTGAGTGTTCTGATGATTGATTGCTTAGTTGTCTTTTGATTTGATTGCTTTATTATTTATTGTCTTTGGCTTCCTTTGCTTTGATTTTATTCTTTTGTTTTGTTTTGGTTTTTCTTTTTCTTTTTTTGGTTTGGTATGCTTTCAAGCTGTGTGTGTGTTGTTTCCTCATCTGATAAGCTACTGTTGTTTATCTGTTTCTGTCTGATTTTTTAATGCTATTATATTGAATATAATGCATTTTCTTTGCTTTTTTAGTTCGAGATTTGCCATATGGAATTTGGCCACTTGGGTGTTGCCATTTGCCTATAAATAGACCCCCCCCGGGGCCTCAAATGGTCTATTTGAGCCAAGCCTGCTTGATTGAGTTTACAGCCCCTAAGTTCTTAATAAGAGAAAAAAAGAGATCAAACATCATGCAGCATTATCGTTGTGCTCAATGTCCTGCTATCTTTTCTTCAATTTCATCACGTAAGAATCATGTAAGACACGAACATCAATCAACTGTCCATACCAAGGATATACATGGCTCTGTGGTGATTATTGAAAGAGTCAATAATCGTTTTTCATGCCCTCAAGTAGCTTGCTCATACTCTACTGTCAAAGCATCCTTGATGCAGACTCATTATCATAATTGTCGATCCAAAATTCGCACTTCAGTTCCTTCTGTGGCCAGCCATACTCCTAGGGTGGTGGTTCAATCTAGAGTGATTCCTGCTGGAAGCCAAGTGCAAGGTTAGTGGTGTCGTATTATAAATATATCAAAACAAGTCAGCTGATGCTTTTTCTTTGTCTGTCTGATTAGAGCTTGCTGGATGGAGGGAGTTTGGGGTTTATTATCACAAACTGGCCAAGCTGTTGCTGTGCTCAAATGAGGGTTGCCACGTCTGTGTTAAAGCTGAAGAGATCTCATCTCACCTCCAGACTCAACATCATATCAAATTCAATGTGGACAAAAGCATGCTTGATGGCATAGTCCAAGCTCCTCCTCAAGACATTTACAATCTTCAGCAGCCCATTACTCCTTTCCGAGGAGTTCGAATGTACATGGGTGTTGTATGTAATGTGTGCTACTATGCTTGTGTCCAGTTGGACTCTATGCGGAAGCACTTTGTGTCCCATCATTGGGTTCCAGGTCAGTGTTCACGTCACTTTCAATAACAGAGCTTGCTTGCAATGCATGGTATTGATGTTATTTCTTTTCTGATGTAGAGTTCCAAGATGGAGGCTGGAGAAACAATATTAGCCAGTCTTGGGTTCAGACTCTTCTGCGGCACCAACATCGTCGATTTTTCCATGTTCTTCCGACTCATCCGGATGACGATATTATCCCAGACTCAAACACCTCTTCCAGTGTCATTACCAGTCGCCAGGCCAGTGGCCTTTTGGCCCAGCTTCCACCCCCTATCAGCATGACTTCTCTTGGAGTGCACAATCCAGCTGGGATTAGGGACACTCCAACTTGGTTAGTCCAAACTGGTATATTGGCCTTTGTCCAGGAGGCTGTTGCTGGAGGATTGACCCACAATCAGCTGGCTCAGATTTTTAGTGAAGGACATCAGTACTATTTCATAGTGTTTGATGCTGTTTTTTCATGGCTGGCAGACCAGTCAGCCAACTTGCCAAAAAAGAGTGTGCATTTAAGATGTAGGGTTCTCTCTGTTAAGCGGTGAGCAGCCAGGATGTTTTTTTTTTTTTTTTTTTTTCACAAGAGGGAAACATTACTTACTAATGTGTGTGATGCATATGATTTAGTGATGAGATTGGAAACAAACCACTTGGCTCCCTTGCGGCATCGGCGATCAAAAAATACTCTGGTTTATTGGCCTTGTTCTTCATCTTTTGCTTAGAAATATCCCATAACCCCCGACTTGGTCTTCCAGCTTGTATTATCAATCCATTAGCCCTCAAGCTTCTTGATCAGCTCCATGATCATCTTACAACAAGTCCACCTACCATCCCTTCTCACTTGATTCCTGAATGTCTTGTTGCTCTATTCATCCAATCAAACCCTCATGGTACACCAGACACCTGTTTTCATGTTCTTCAGTTTGTTGCTTTGTCGATGATCAAAGAAGATGGTTCCTTTCAGCCCCATGGCCTAGTGACTAGGCTCCTTGCTCCTCTTCAATACTGTCTTCGAGTGTCTTTTGTTGAATTGTACTTGGCTTTCTCTGCCTGCACTCCATCCCCCGATACCAACCTTGGACTGATCTTCCACAACGGTCTAAATGGCCAAGTCGAGAATATGTGGAACTATGTAATTGAAGGGACAGTCAACACACCATTCTGGGGTCTTCGATCCTGGATGCACCTCATGGCGACTGTTACAATGACTGAGGGGCTCCCTGAGACGACACATTGGATAGACAGTGGCTGCACGCAACTGGCCATTAACAACCTGACTGTATCGTTGGATGATGTCAAGCACACAATTCAGCAAACCTTTCAGAGTATTGAGCAACTGCTCTCTTTGCTCACTCAAGGTGTCAAGTTGCCAGTGTTTGATCGGGTGGCATATGAGGATCAGCCTCATATGGTTGATGTTGGATTCAACTATCTAGTGGCCTCTGCAAAATACCACGACCAGTACTCAGGTCGATATCTCTTAGAATCATGGATGGCTGCAGGAGATCCATGGGGTTTTTCAAAATATGGCGAAACCTGGGATCGATCGACTGTTCAAAAATGGCTAGACATGGCGAATGAACTTACCAAAGCTCTTTACTTTTGTGTCCATTGTGGATGTGGCCAACCTGCAAGAGGAACCGAAGAAATGACTGTCAAGATAGTTAATACCCCAGAAGCAATGCGGAATGTATTCTGGCGTAACGGTACATTTATGATCCAAACGACTTATCACAAAGGTCAATCGATTTCTGGTCATGGAAAGACTCGAGTGGTTTTTCTTCCTGGGTTGCTTTCACAGCATTTGCATCATTATTTGGCTTTCATCCGGCCTACTCAAATGTAAGTTCATGGTGTTGGTGTATGCATATGTGTGTTAGAGTGTGTGGATACTGATGAAATATTGTCCTTAGTACCTTTTTGCAGCTTTTGGATCAACTTGACCATATACAACATCTATTGACGCATCTTTGGGTTGACACTTCACTTGGACTTTTTACTACTTCCCATCAAACATCGGTTCTCCACCGGACATTTGTGAAGCATAATGTTGCCCCACTTGGGGTGAATCCTTGGAGACACCTCTGTGTTGCGGTTTGTGATCAGTGGCTAAAGGAGCACCCCCGAATTGGTCTTGTTGATGATGATGAAGATGATGAGGAAGGATCAAATCATGTCTTGGATATTCAAAGGAACCATACGAGCCGAACAGCCAACTGGGTTTATGGAGGAACTAGTGGGCACAGTATGGACCGTCGTGCCGAGTATCAATTCCGTCAAGCCTGCACAATTTGGCAAGATTTTTGGGGTGTAAGTGTTTACTTATTTTCAGTTATGGTATGGAACCAAAGTATGTGACTTTAACTAATTTTTTTCTCAAAAATCACAGGTGAATTGGGATTATAGTTCTTCTTCCTTGGTTGGCCCCGTCACTCCGGTTATTCCCTTGAGTCCATCGCAGCTTGCCATGCAAGCGCTGCAGCAGTTTACTAGGGATCCGTCACCGAGTTGGAAATCACCCTTTCAGCAATTGTGGATCACTGCTGTATTAGAAGCCGATCAAGATCTTCTTGTTGTTGCTCGAACAGGTGGGGGCAAGTCTCTGGCGTATTTGTTGCCACCTTTGGTTGAACCAACACAGCTGTCTGTTGTGATTCAGCCACTCAAAGCACTTGGACACGAAACTATGAAGATACTTGAGTCGCATCATATTGAGGGATTCTATGTGGATCAAGCACTCAAGCAGGACATACCTCATAACACTCGGGTATTGGTTGCGTCGGTTGAAGCGGCATCTCAGATTGGATTTTTCACTGCAGTCAGCAAGTTGAAACCAAGACGGTTTATTATTGATGAAGCGCATCAGTATCTAGATGATGTGACTTACCGAAATTACATGGCTGGTGTCGCTCGGTTGAGGGAGATTACTGGACAGTTTGTTTTTATGACTGGATCGTTGTCACCTGCAAACCATACACAGTTGTTGCAAGGAATCTTCAACATGGTACAAGTCAAAACTTTCCGAGAGCCAACAGTTCGACCGGAACTGCTGTGGGAAGTCAAGGATCACCAACTTGGGTCTGCAGAAGCGTTGTTGCATCTAGTAGCTGCTACCTGGCAAAGTGAATGCAAGGATGACTCATCACGAGGGATGGTCTTTGTGCAGTCGCATGCGGGGGTTGAAGCTCTTTATCAGCAGTTGGAGCGCATGAAGGTTCCGGTGACGTATTATCATGCTGGTCTTGATGTGGATCTGGCAAAATCTAATGCCAACCAGTGGAGGGTTACTGGCCGGTGTGTAATGGTAGGAACATGTGCATTTGGGACTGGAATCAATTATCCACATGTTCGGTTTGTGATTATCCTGGGAATTCCAAACCGAGGGAATATCAATCAAGTGTTTCAGCAGGCTGGTCGAGCAGGGCGAGATGGGAAATTGGCCAAGATTATCTTGGTTTCACAAAAGAAAAGTCCGTGGGATCCAGATGGATTTACGCAGACACTTCTAAGTCCTGGAACATGCCCTGTGCGAGCATTTTCGACTGTTCTTGATGAATCACCATCCTCATGCCTCAGTTTGGATGTTTCCAGAAAGTGTTCTGTGTGCTCTGTGATTGGAGGACGTGTAAAGGGTCTTGTGGTTGACGATACGAACAAAACGACTGACGGATTGGATGAAGCTGGGCTTATGGAGTTGGACTCTTGGGAAATAGAACGAGATCAGCGTGTAGATACAAGGGTGGCGAGGGTTGAGAAGGATCAAAGTATGAGGGCTGAGCGAGATTTGGTACAGCCAGGGCATAGTGTAAATCAAAAACGAGCTGGGGCCACCCATGTAAAACACAATCAGGTGGCTGCAGCAATAGTAGATTTGATTGCTCGATATAAGTCTGTGTGTGGATGGTGCTTGGGTTCAACTGGACAAAACATATCTAGGGTTGGGCATACTTGTATTGGGAATGGATTGAGATCTCGCTGTTTCTCATGCAAGTCAAGTAAGTGATGAGTTGTTACTAGTGTTGGGTTAGGGTTGGGTTAACTGATTGATATGGCTTATTGGTTTTTGTAGATGCACATTGGACTCGAGAGTGTAATGTCCCGCGATTATCGGCAGTGTTGAAAACACACTTTGTGCGGAATGTGTGTTTCAAGTGTGGGTTGTCTGCTGGGGCCTGGGACTTGTTTGTGTTTCATCGTGACCGGCATTCCGACTGTGATTCTGGGATGTGTGGAACAGCTGAAGAGTTTAGTTGGTATATCTTTCATGAGCGTAGACATGTGTTGAAGAAATATTTCCCTGATGTTTCTAGCTTAACTGATTTACAATTTGTTGAATGGCTTGGATCTAAAGCGACTCCTTTTTGTTCAAACATGTATATATTAATGATTGATGCTTTGGGTTTTTCTTGATATTATATTAGTGATTGTGTCTCCAGTTTCATTTGCTTCCAGCTGATATAGCTTGGCCATCTGAAGGCTTGTTCCTGATGTTCTTTGTTTTGATTGCTTGTGCTAATATATGTTTATATTGTGGGTGATAACCACTAGAACTTCCTCATTAACATAACAACATAACTGCTGAACCCCCCCAATAAAAGAGAGGGTTAGGGTATAACCACTAGTGTTTTCATCAGGCGTATGGGTGCCGAATGATGTCTACCTGTCTACCTGGTGTAGGGGAGAGGTAGACCAGGTAGACCATTGGTCCTTGGGCCTTTGCCTGATTTTTTGAGAATTATTTCCTGAGGTAGACTTGATCCAGCCCAGGTAGAAAAATAATACAAAAAATGTGGCTGGTTGATGTATCTAGACTGTGTAACTGTTATTTTGCATGATGTGTTGATGTATTCAGACTGTTTAATTTTAAATTTTCATGATATGAACTGCAGCCAGGTAGAAAATTAAGCTGTACCAATACAAAAATATTGATTCTCCATGATATGACAAGCAACTAATTAAAAGTTTAAGCCATAAAAATCACAAATGAGTCAGTAAGATGAAGTAGGACGTGGACTTAGATTCAACCTGGATAACTGATGCCTCCAGGTTGAAATTGATTTGTGAGAAAGGGGCTGGTAAGAGCATATAATTTGTAGAGTATCTGCCTATCTTGATAGGTAAAAGGAAAAATAAAGTCATGTGTTCAAAGGATTTCCCAAAAACGCTATTGACCTAGTGGTGAATTACTTTGAGAAGGAGGTCAGAGTACTAATTTGGGCTCACTGGTTGAGCAGGCACCAAAATCACTGCAGCATAGGTGGCAAAAGAATACATGTCAATCTGAATTGGCCAAAAAAAAGTGCAATGGCCCAGAGGTGAAAGTATTTGAAAGGGAGGTTCCAGTGAGGTTTTGGGTGGGTTTTATGTGCTTCAGAAGGTGCACTCTCTCAATTCACCAAACAATTTGTCATCAACTGCCTTCTTCCACTGGGACTTTTATTTCTGACCAATCATTTATTCTTGTGAGTTTCTCTCCTTAGTTAATTGTCTCTCTTTGGTGTCTTTTTCTCTGATTGTCTTTCTTACTTTTTCTGGATAAATATTTATTAATTGAATCCTGTACATATCCTTGAATGATGAGTATGTCCCAAAAGCACTTTGGAATTAAGCAGGGAAAGTGACAAAAAATGCTGATTGACCTAGAGGTGACAGGATTTGACAGGGAGGTCCAAGTTATTTTTGGCTGAGCTGCCCTCCAGGAGGGACACTGTAGTATTTGAAGAAACAGGATTGTCAATAATTTTCCTACAAGTCATTGGCAAAAGTGCAGCTGTGTAAGCTCAGTGAGTCACGTCATGCCCTCTTCTATGTCTCTCTTTTTAATTTTTTATTGTGATGTGTTGAACTCATCAATTGATTGACTCCCTATCTTATCACCTTCCATGATTGTCTTTTATACAACATTAATATCCATGATTTTAATTCTGTGAATCCCACATACACAGGGAATATAGCTGTCTTTCTTTCTAATCCCTGCCATTGATTTACTTTCTTTCTCATCCAAAATTAAAATAAAACATATTAATTTATCCCCATCAACCCTTGATCTGTGACTTCAAACATACAATGAATACAGGGTGATGATCTTTCTCCTGAACTGCATTCCTAGATAATTAGTTGTAAAAGCAAAGGTGAATACTTGGACAGATCCCAAGCAAGTAATTTTTCAAACCTCGTTCAAGTACTTGTATAATCAGAGACAACATTACTGTGTTCAATAATGGAGCTCATTCATAATCAATATCTCCTAACTAGTTGTAGATCTTGGAAATAGGTTCCCTTTGGGCCCTGATGAGGTTTAATTGTTTTGGAGAACTGTGTTGCAATAGTTGTACTTGTGCTGTTGGGTTTTGATGTTATCCCTCCTGTGGGATATACCCAGTTCATTGCATTGTCTTGCTCTTGTATCACTTGTGATTAATAACAGGCCAAAGAATTTGCATGAAGTATTTAATTCAGGGCAGTTTTCTTTGCAATAATTCATACATGATGATTTCAATTTTATTTTTTCATGAAGAGCAGAAAGGACAATTCATTGCAATATAAATATTCTTAACCCAGTCAATCCCTCATCTGTTGCTTGACATTGTTTGTGAGTGGTTTTGCTTCTTGTCTTATTTGTTGATTGTCTTTCTTTCTGACCTGTTATGTTGTCCCTGGTCTGGAAGCCATGCTCTTGTGGACTTTTATAAAACACATTGAATATACATTAATTTGCATTGTAGTAAAATATCTTGAAGACCATCTGATGAATGACTAACTGTATTCTTGTTGAATATTTAATGGACAAGAATATAATATATATGATATTTGTGTTTTATTTTGCCTACGTCCCGCACCACAATATACCAGAGGGGCATGTTGCCTGGGACTCTGTTCCAGAATACAGTGTTTCTCCATTCTATGTACTTCAGCTCTGTTTTCTTTGCAGTAATTTAGTAAAAAGACTAGACACGATCAACTTAGCAAATATCTGATCAATAAGATCATTCAAATAGTTTGCATATGATGTTTACTTCAGGGCTGTTTTCTATGCAGTTGTTTATACACGATCCTTTCAAATTACCTCTATCATTTATTGAGAATATGATTTGTGCAGTATCCTTCTATCTATCATGATAAGCAAAAGCAATAACAATGCAATGTGCTCAAAGGATGTCCCAAAAAGCCATAGACCTAGTGGTGAATTGCTTCAAAGATGAGATCAGAGGAACTATTTGGGCTCACTGGGTGAGTAACCACCAAAAGCACTGCAGCATTGGGGGAAAAATAAAGGTAAAACATAGGTGATTGTTTTGCATATCTGTCAATTCTGTATGTTCATATGAGGTGGCCCTGCAAGTATCCCTCCTCAAGCAATTGTATCCCTTTGTATCCTTCATCAATATTTATCAATTACATGCTATCTGGTGAGTACTTTGCAAAAGCACTGTGCAATTGTATTTCAAAATCCCATTGACCTGGAGGTGAAAGGATCTGACAGGAAGGTCCAAGGTTTTGCTTAGCTGAGTTGTATGGAATTCCCAAAGGGCACTATTGCATTTCAGGAAAAAAGTCAAATAATTCTCCTACAAGGCACGAGGTCGGTGGGTTGTATCACGCCTTCTTCCATTTGGACTGTGCTTCTTAATCTTTCTAATTCTGTATTTGGAATAGTTGATCTCCTTAATCAGTTGCCTCTGTTGCTTATTCCTTCTGTTGCTCATGTTTATTGCTTGTCTTTCATTGACATTTAGTATTTTAATCATAACAATCCTACATCAACTGCTCAAAACAAATAAAGCTGTCTCTCCTTCTTCTTATCTCTGTCAGTGATTTCCTTCTCTCTCATCAAAGTGTATGAATCTATGCATGTCAATCCCTTGTGGGTTGCTTCCAAAATCCAATGAATTTTTTTCAGTTTACCTTTCTAGATAATTATCACTTGCAAGAAGGACTTGTACAAACATTACTTGTAAAACCAAAGACAACAGAAATTTGTTCCCTGGTTTGAGAGTCTTGATTACGTGAGCTACACTCCTGTATCTTGTATTCTGTATGTAGGTGTTAATGAGATGGGGAATCAAGATTGCCTGTCCTTTTCTGGGGATGTTGGGATTGCACATTAAAAAACAAGAAAGTGAATAAGATTTCAGTTGCACAATATAGTCACTATGAACACAAAAGCATCCTGCTGGCCTATTGGAGCAGGTCAGCCATTGAATGAATTGTGGGGCCTCAAGCTGAGGATGTTGCATGAGAGGCCTAGTAATGCACCTCTGGGGGCGCATCATTGAATTGTCTCATGCCCTCTGCTGCTTGGCTTGTCTGTCTCCCTAAGTTTTTATTTTTTTGAGATCATGTAAATTTGAATAAATATTTACTTTACTAAATGAGGATTTGATCTTTGCCATTGTAATTTAGTGTCCCCTGTTGAGCTGCAACTCTTTTAAAAAAGTCTGTTGCTCCATTTACACTTGTATTGTTCAATTTTAGTGCCACCTCCCCAGCTTGCTTCACTCAGCTCATTCATTGTTTTGCTTCTGTATGACAGAACCCCCCAGTAAGTTCCCTCAAGCTTGTTATATCCTGTGAGAGCCTATGAGAGCCTTTCTATGATGGCCCAGGAGGCCATCAGCCCCTCTCACTTGTAAAACACCCATGTCAAGTTCAGATGAAGACCAATCCAGACTTTAATATTGATGCAGCTGAAATTTAATCAGACCGGCCCGGCCCGGCCCGGCCCGGCCCATGGCCCGCATCGACCTCGAGTTGAAACGCTTTCAACTCGAGGTCAAAACTGAATGGCATGTAGAAAGGAAATCGAGCTCCAGCTGACAACTATTTGGCCCAAAAAGGTCGGCTGCTGCTCTGGGCAATGAGGGATTGACCTCGAGCTGAATTGTTTCCAGCTCGAGGTCAATGGTAAGGAGGGATCAACCTCAAGTCAAAATGGTTTTGACTTGAGGTCGAAGCCATATGGCTTGTGAAAATGAATTCGACTTCATACTCAAGACCATTCAGTCCGAGGTCTCCAGCGGCTCTGGGCCGTGAGTGATTGACCTCGAGCTGAACTATTTTCAGCTAAAGGTCATGGTGAGTGATGACCTCGAGG